GTCCAGGTGCATATATGGGAACAGATCCAATCCTGTTTTATCAGCGGAGCTTCAGCAGTCTGCATCTCACAGTGTAACCACTCAGGCAGCAATTACACTGAGTCTACCAGCAGTCCCAGAGTTTTCAGGTTCTAGCCTTAAAGGGACATGGCATTATACCCTAGTTCAAATTGCCAGAGATGGGGAAATGTAACTAAGTAGAAAAATTCCTCCAAATTCAGTGCCTCACAGAGCAGGGCACCAGTTGGATTGGGACCTTGAGCCACTACCATAATATACAAATAATTAATAAGAACCTCCACATTGCATACACCATTTTGTCTGCCATATGAAATAAGTAAATAGGTCCATCAAACAGTTACAACCCATATTTGATGGGGATCAAAACCTGAAAGAAATCTTTCCTGAACCTCCTCTTCTGGCCTTCAAACAACCTACCTTGCCAAGCTCATCATCAGAAGCAACCTCATCATAGACCAGGACACCCTAAACTGAAAGTGGTACCAGACCCCACTAGAACAACAGATGCAAAACCTACAGACATATCTCCACTGCTAGACACAATATGCCTTTCAAGATTCATGGGTCCTATACATGCTTATCACAACATGTGGTGTACCTCATCTGGTGCATCAAATGCCACAATAACAACTGTGTAGGTGAAATGAGACAATTACCGGGCACTCAAATGAACTCACACAGAAAAATGATAAAAGTCATATCACCTGTGGGTAAACACTTTTCACAAAGTGATCACTCCATATCTGATCTTTCAATACTTATCCTCAAGGGAAACCTGCACAACACCTTCAAAAGCTGAGCCCAGATGCTTAAATTCTTCATTCTACTAGCCACCAAAAACCATGGACTTAGCAGGGAGACTGGCTCATTACAACAATTTGTCACACAACACACTGCCTGCCATCTATTAATTGCCCACTTCAAAACCTTTATGCATGAGAATCTAACCCCCAATCGCCCACTTCATTTCAAATGGCTGCCTCAAACATGTGTTACCCCTTCTCTTGACAGTCTGTCCAAATTTATATTTATCTCAGACACTCTGCTTCCTTCCCCAGACCTGAAGAAGAGCTCTGTGTAGCTTGAAAGCTTGTGCCTTCCACCAACAGAAGTTGGTCCAGAAAAAGATATTACCTCACCCATCTTGTCTCTTTCATATCCTGGACCAACATGACTATAACAACACTGCAAACAAGTAAATAGGAGGCAGTATTTGAACTCATTGGGACAGATTGTGTTGAGGACTGTTGATAAATTGAACAGTCAATTGCTTGAGCACACTTTGGTTTGTTATGAAATATATTCAAGAGACAAAATAATCAATATCAATCAGGTTTATTGCTAAAAGTCAAAGATAATATAGTATAGGAAGAAAGGCTTAGTTTCCAGGAAGCTTCTCACGCAGCGTATTTAAATTACTCTCACAGAGAAGGTGTGCTCCCAAACTTATACATTTCAGCTGTTAGTATTTACTGCATGGTTTTACAAGCTACAAAACCCTTTATACATTACTAAAATCCCAACACACCAGTTCGTCCCAGTTCCTTAACTTGTTGTTCTGGACCTTTCCTTATTTTTGTTTTGGCTACTAACATTCCAGGTACTGGTCTGTGAAGGTACCTCCCCAGCTTGTACAGAGCAGAACATTAATGTATTTTGCCTTTAACAAGTTTCTAATGCCAAAGCTTACTTCAGTTTTGTAAGTGCTACGAGATACTTAGCATAAGTACAGGTTTCAGAGGAACAGCCGTGTTAGTCTGTATTCGCAAAAAGAAAAGGAGTACTTGTGGCACCTTAGAGACTAACCAATTTATTTGAGCATGAGCTTTCGTGAGCTGTAGCTCACGAAAGCTCATGCTCAAATAAATTGGTTAGTCTCTAAGGTGCCACAAGTACTCCTTTTCTTTTAGCATAAGTAAACAGGATTATAAAAAGACAGGCCAATTTAGGACATGTAACTGCTGGAAATGTATACAATATAATGTTATATTGTTATTATGTGCTTCATGCATATTAATATATGTGATGTCAATGATATATATTAATAATGTGATTGATATATAATTAGCCCAGCATATATTGATCAACACGTCCAACACCTGTCGCTTGTATTATCAAGGCAACATCTTTGACAAATTAATACATGAAACAGTGGTGAGGACACTTATAGATGATTTATATATGATTTCTAGTGCCTTAATAAACTGTCTAAGCAGCAATACATGATTAACGCAACTAAAACTAATTTCCTTGTAATACAAACAAGGCTTTAAATGCAAGTTCTATCCTAGTTTGGGAAATTAGTATTTTAAGATCCCTATTATTGCTAAGGTCATTTAAGGCTTCTTTTGCCTTGCACATGTTATTGCTAATTTGAATAATGTGAGTGACTTTTTAAATTTAAGGTTAGTGGGTCAATATGCATGTTAAAAACTGGTGAATTTTTTTTTAATTTTATCATGATACTGGGGTTCACTTTAGGTCAAGGATTCACTTCAAAAAAATGGGATAGACATTATTATAGTGTGTTCCACAGTACTATGTCTGTGAGAATTAACACAAAAATTGGGAGCAATTGCCTTCTGTTGGAATTCTGCATGCATAGCACTTTCAGGATCAGGCCCCTTCTTGCCAGATTTGTTATGTATAAATGTATTAAATGTATAAAAAGCACAGAATCATAGGGCTGGAAGGGACTTTGAGCAGACATCTAGTCCTGTCCTCTGTGCTGAGACAGGACCAAGTATACCTAGACCATTCCGTTTATCTAAGCTGTTCTTAAAAACCTCCAATGATGTGGATTCCGCAACCTCCCTTGGAAACCTATTTCAGTGCTTAAATATCCTTATACTTAGAAAGTTTTTCCTAATATCTAACGTAAACCTCCCTTGCTGCAATTAAGCCAGTTACCTCTTGTCCTCCTTTCAGAGGGCATGGACAACAATTGATCTCTATTTTCTTAACGTATTTGAAGATGGTTTTCCGGTCTCCCCATAGTCTTCTTTTCTCAAGACTAAACGTGCCCAATTTTTTTAACTTTTCCTCGTGGGTATGATTTTCGAAGCCTTTAATCATTTGTGTTGTTCTCTGGACTTTCTCCAATTTGTCCACATCTTTCTTAAAGCGTGGCGCTCAGAACTGGACGCAGAATATTGGTCTTTTTTGCAACTGCATCACATTGTTGACTCTCATTCATTTTTTTAATGATTATAACCCCCAGATCATTATCAGAAGTACTACTGCTGTCTGTACTATTGCCTAGCCACTTATTCCCCAGTTTGTAGTTTTCCTTTCTAAGTTTACTACTTTGCACTTGTCTGTAGTGAATTTCATCTTGTTGATTTCAGATCAATCCATCAATTTGTCAAGATCATTTTGAATTCTACTCCTCCTCCTCCAAAGTGCTAGTAACCCCTCACAGCTTGGTGTTGTCCACAAATATTATAAGCATATTCTCCACATCATTATCCAAGTAAACCCCCCTAGATATATCCCCACAGTCTGATAGCAAACCATTGATAACTACTCTTTAAGTACAGTCTGTCAGCTCATTTTGCACCCACGTTATAGTCATTTCATCTAGACCACATTTCCATAGTTTGTTTATGAGACTGTCATGTGGGACTGTGTCAAAAGCCTTACTAAAATTAAGAAATATTACATCTACAGGTTCCTCCCATCCACTAGGTCAATAACCCTGTCAAAGAAGGAAATTAGTTTGATTTGGCATGATTTGTTCTTGGCAAATCCATGTTGGCTATTACTCATAACCATTTTGTCCTCTAGGTGCTTGCAAACTGATTGTTTAATAATTCGTTCCAGTTCCTTCAAGGTATCTAAGCTAGGCTGACTATTCTGTCATTCCCCAGGACCTCTTTGTTCCTCTTTTTAAAGTTAGGGACTATGTTTGCCCCCTCCATACCTCTGAGACCTCACTCATCCTCTAGGAGTCCTCAGAGATAATTGCTGATGGTTCTGAGATTGCTTCAGCTAGTTCCTTAAGTACCATAGGATGAATTTCATAAGGCCCTGTTAATTTGAATACATCTAATTTACCTAAATACTATATGACCTATTCTTTCACTATTTTGCTTTTCTGTGTCTTCTTCCTTGTTATTAATATTAATTGTGTTAAATATCAGGTTACAATTTACCTTTTTAGAGAAGACTGAAGCAAAAATAGGCATTAGCCTTGTTTCTGTCATCCATTATTAGCTCTGCTTCCCCGATAAGTAGAGAGCCTACACTTTCCTTATCTTTCCCTTGCTCCAAATGTATTTATAGAACTACTTCTTAATTGCTTTTTATGACCTTTGTTAGGTGTAGTGCATTTTGTGCCTTAGCTTTTCTGATTTTGTCCCTACGTGCTTGTACTATGGTGCTTGTGCTTGTGCTTTGGTACTCCTCCTTAGCAATTTGTCCATGTTTTCATTTTTTTGCATGACACCTTTTTGATTTTCAGATCGTTAAAGAATTCCCGATGGAGCCATATTGGCCTCTTACTATTCTTCTGATCTTTCCTTTGCATCAGAATTGTTTGCTGTTGTACCTTTAATATTGTCTCTTTGAGAAATTGCCAGCTCTCCTGAACTCCTTTTTCCCTTAGATTTTCTTCCTATGGGACCTTACCTCCCAGTTCTCTGAGTTTGTTAAAGTCTGCTTTTTTGAAGTCCATTTTCCTTATTCAGCTAATTTCACTCCCTCCTTTCCTTAGAATCATGAAATCTGTAATTTCATGATCACTTTTACCCAACTTGCCTTCAAATTCTCAACCAATTTGTCCCAGTTAGTCAGAACCAACTCTGAAATGGCTGTCCCCCTGAAACAAAATGTTGTCCCCAATACATTCCAAGAACTTGCCATATTTTTGTGTTTTGCCATATTACTTGTCAGAATCCTTTTTCTACTATTAATTTATACCATTGTATAGGGGGGTAATATATTGTAAGAAGTTATTTTTTCTGTTCTTTCTTTAACAGGATTGGGAATTTCCACATTTCATGGGTGATGTTGATGTAAATCTTCCTGGCTTGCCATATGCACATCTGCAGTTCAAACTACCTTACTTCCAAAAGATCTTCAAGGAAGAATATCACATACATATAACAGGTACGTAATCTTATACGTGGTGATAGCTATCTCACATGGTACTCTTTTCTGCTGGGATGAGTCTGTTGACCATATGATTTTTACCCAGATTATGTTTTTTCTTCAAAATAACCCATTAGTGAAGAGAACAAGAATATATATTCCATGAACCAAACAGGCCTACAATTCTTCAAGGAGTTCACAACTTCTTGTGCCATTAAATACTACCTATCGTTGAAGCAGAAATCATATTTATCTGAGATGATTCTCCTAAAGAATCTTATTACATTTTCAGATCTGTTCCGCTTTCAGATTGCTTCAGTATGATTTTTTATTATATTCTTTCTTAACTCCAGTCTTTCTCATCCAGGAAAGACTATCTAGAGCTACACTTTTATCAGTCCTGTAACCAGAAGCAGACAGCAGAGTGATCACAAAGATTGTAGATGTTCTAAAGCATGGCAAATTTAGGAATAAAAGACCCAATCCTAAAGTATGACTGAATCATGTTCAGTGTAAGAGCCATGAGGGCAAAGGGGGCTGTAAGATGTGGGCTGAAGGGTACTAGTATGCGTCATGAGGATGGGTAGTTTAAACTTGGTACCATGGGCAAGTAGTAGAAACCATGGTAGCAGACAGTAATATCCAGAAGTAAAGTGTAAGTGAAGGGGCCAATGATAGAGCCATGTGGGATTCCCATATAGAAGGAGAAAGAGCCATTAAAGAATATGCCTAAGGTGAGGTCAGAGAGAAAGTAGATGAACCATGAGAGGACAGGGTCACAAAAGGCAAGGGAAAAGAAGTTGCCAAGAAGGAGGGATTGATGAACAGTACTGAAGGTCGAGGAGGATGGAACTGAGCATCTATTGCTAAGACAGGAGGACATTTTGTGAGACTTTGGAGATGGCATTTTCAGTGAAACAGAAATCTGACTGGAGTGGATCTAGACATGAGCTAGAGTAGGATTTCTCAAATGCGACCACTGTGGCCGCATGCAGCCACCAGGGTTTTTTTTTGTGGCCACAGCCTCCTGGGCCAGCAGCCCCTCTCCCTCCCTGGTGCTCCTGGGGGCACAGCCTTGGTGTTGTTTGCAGGGGCCTCCAGAAGGGGTTGGGCCCTGCCCCTCCTCTGGAGACACCCAGGGCAAACACTGGAGGAGCAGGCAGCCGGTGAGTTTCCCACCTTCCCAGGGGCAATGGGGCTCAGGCTTTGGGCTTCAGCCCTTGGGTGGTGGGGCTTCAGGCTCTGCCCTCCTGCTGCCTCCCCTGGCTACCCACTCACCCCCATCGCCCCTGGCCCCCGCTGCCTCTCCCGATTCCTCATCTAGGGCTTAATTTGTCCCCAGATTTGCTGGGGCTAAGTCTGTTGTGAAAAGTGGTACTTGTATGTTTAATATCACTTTTCACAGCAGACTTACTAGCTAGAAGTAAATAAGTTACAATGATTTGGACATGTATATGTGCATATTTATTTGTTTTTCCTAAAGCTAATTAAGTATTTTAGGAAAAGGTGTGAGAATGGCCACCAGCAAGAGTTGGTGGCCGCACTCTGAGACCACCAAATAATTTGTCTTGAGAACCCCCTGAGCTTAGGTGACCATAAAATATCAGGACACATTGGGGTGCTGTCAGCCCCACCCACAGTCCACCCCTGCTCCTTCCTAAATACAGATTAAAGGACTAAATACAGATTAAAGGAAGAGAAAATAGAGAGAGGGGAGGGGCAAAAGTGTACGTGAAGGGAGTACATAAATCTTCTCTTTGAAGTCAGTAAAGTCTTGGGTAGAGAGAGAAAGGAGAGGAAGAGAGAGCTCAAGGAAGGTATCAAAAGTAGCAGCTCCACCCCCACTCTGCCCCAGGTCCAGGTCCCGCCCCCTCCCCACTTGGGCCCTCCCCACCCCCAGCCACCGAGCCCTTCCTCATCCCCTGGCCCACCGCTGGCTTGCTGCATCCCTCCTCAGTCCCCCACCCACTGCTTGCCTCTTAGAATCATAGAATCATAGAATATCAGGGTTGGAAGGGACCTCAGGAAGCCATCTAGTCCAACCCCCTGCTCAAAAGCAGGACCAATCCCCAATTAAATCAACCCAGCCAGGGCTTTGTCAAGCCTGACCTTAAAAACTTCTAAGGAAGGAGATTCCACCACCTCCTTAGGCAACGCATTCCAGTGTTTCACCACCCTCCTAGTGAAAAAGTTTTTCCTAATATCCAACCTAAACCTCCCACACTGCAACTTGAGACCATTACTCCTTGTCCTGTCTTCTTCTACCACTGAGAATAGTCTAGAACCATCCTCTCTGGAACCACCTCTCAGGTAGTTGAAAGCAGCTATCAAATCCCCCCTCATTCTTCTCTTCTGCAGACTAAACAATCCCAGTTCCCTCAGCCTCTCCTCATAAGTCATGTGTTCCAGACCCCTAATCATTTTTGTTGCCCTTCGCTGGACTCTTTCCAATTTATCCACATCCTTCTTGTAGTGTGGGGCCCAAAACTGGACACAGTACTCCAGATGAGGCCTCACCAATGTCGAATAGAGGGATCTTCACCCTCCCCATCCGCTGCTGACTCTCTGCTTGTCTTTTCACACCCCTGCCCACCGCTCACCTCTTCACCCCCTTGCTTGCCACTCACCTACTATGGCGCCGACTTTCCCTCTTCCTGGTGGGTGCTTGCCCGGCCCCCGCCTCTTCCTGCCCTTGCTCTGCCCTTGCCCTGCCCCATTCCACCCCCTTCCCACAAGTCCCTGCCCCTCCCCTGCCTCTTTCCATCTTCCTCCCCTGAGTGCCTGAATGCCCTCTCCTCCCCTCCCTCCCGGAAAGTCCCAAGTGCCTCCAAACAGCTGTTAGGTGGCGGGGGCGCGGAAGTGCTGGGAGGGAGGGGGAGGAGCGGGGACGTGGCGTGCTGCGGGGTGGAGAAGGAGGCAAGGAGTGGGGAGGTTGGCTGCTGGTGGGTGCAGCGCACCTGCTAATTTTTCCCCATGGGTACTCCAGCTCTGGAGCACCTATGGAGTCAGCACCTGCCTCCCACTCACCTCCTAACCTGAATATCGGGACAAATGGGGTCCCAATCATACATTGATCAGGACGTGGGACAAAGGGTTAAATATCAGGACAGTCCCAATTTTATCAGGACATCTGGTCACCCTACTTGAGCTAGAGGCAAGGAAATCAGTGCAGCAATTGTAAATTGCTCACTGAAAAGGAGAAGGGAGATGGGCTGGTAGTAGGAAAGACAGATGGAGGGAAAGGGGTGTTTTTGGAGGTTATGTTATATGGGGTATGTCTTAAAACTGAGAGAAAAGAGACAAAAGAGGTAATAGGTAAGAGTACGGCAAGAGAGGCCAGTAACAGTGAAGGGATAGAGACAAAGGGATTTCAGGAGGGATTGGAAATTAGGAGCATGTGTGTGTGACCTCAACTAAAGACTAAATACAGATTAAAGGAAGAGAAAATAGAGAGAGGGGAGGGGCAAAAGTGTACGTGAAGGGAGTACATAAATCTTCTCTTTGAAGTCAGTAAAGTCTTGGGTAGAGAGAGAAAGGAGAGGAAGAGAGAGCTCAAGGAAGGTATCAAAAGTAGCAGATGTATGACATGGGTTGTGGGTATGGGATTCAAGATCAGTGGAGAAGTCCTGGTGTTTTGTGAGGAGGCAGTACTGAAGATGGAGAACATGAATTTGCTGTGGCACATACGCACAAGGTCCTTAGATTTCATCCAGACCTGTTAACTATTGTTTGAGCAGGAGACAAGGAAATGGATGGGAGTGTGAACCGTGGCTGATGGTTGGTGGGGGAGACTGTGCAGTGACAGAAGGAGACAAAGGAATTACGGGTAGTACAGAGTGTAGATGACAAAACAATGAATGGAAGAAGAGGGAATAAAGGGCAAAGAAGATTGACTCAGGGATGCAGAGAAGTCAGGGGTATTGATGGTTGAAGGCTGTGCAAGAGAAGGGAGAATGAGTAACATTAAAGAAAATAAGGTAGTGACGAAAAGAAACTACAACAGTTGAAAGATTTCCTTTAACTACTGTCTGTGCCGCTGTTTGAAAACAAACCCGCTAAGGGAAACGGATACCTATGCATTATAGAGTTCTCTGCAGAAAGAAATGGAGGCCCCTTTGATTTTTTGGAGAGGAGGCACTCTTGAATGAGAATGAGCTTATGAATAAGGACTGAGGAATATTTTCTCTCTTGGCTCAGAATTAATAAGACCCATTTATTAGATTTACTAGACAAATCAATCCATTTGAGTGCATGTCACATACCCTGGATACTGAGTGCTTGTTTTATCTTAGTGCTTCGCCACTCTTCAGGATATCTAAAAGCAGCTGTTAACATAGATGGCATGAGAACCTTCCTTTGGGTGGGTGTTTTACCTGGTCCATCTGTTCTTGCCGTCAGCTCTCCATCATCTTACAGCATTTTCAAGCTCTAGTTACTGTGTGCAGATATAGCAATTCTCAATTCAAATCAAGGAGCTAATGAAAAAATCAGGAATAACCAATTAAAATATTTTAGACAGTAGCCTAATAAGAATGCCTAATTCGAACATATCTTTTTTGGAAAAGAAATTCCCTTTTTTGTTAATAATAATGGTCAAGTAGAGGAGTCTAGGGATGGAAACAATGTTTAGTTTAGTATAGGGAGAAGCTCAAGCTGCAAAATTGTGATCTGGATCCAGACATCCAGACTCTGAATATTGTCCACCCCTGAGGTCTTGACCTGGGTTCAGATTTTGATCCCTGGTCAGATTTGATGTGGGTGAGCTGGTTTGCATAGCATCCCCAGTGTAATCTGTTAATAAAACCAGCCTAGTGAAAGAGCATGCACATGTAAGGGTAGTTCTGTGCTGGCACAGACCTGGCTGCCACTAGCAGAACAGGGAAAAGGGGGCGTGACTGGAGAAAAGGAGGCATTGTTGGGCTGCTCCTTTGCCCCCCGGATACTGGGCTGCTCCTTTGGCCCTGAGGCTGTTGCAAGTCAGCCTAAATTAGAGCAGCATGAAGAACAGGTAAGTGCAA